AACAAAAGTCCACTTGGCTGCCATTTCCGCCTTTCACCCAGGTGTGGCGGCTGGTCAGTCTTTGCCAACCCAATAGTTGGATTCAGAGTAGCAGCCGTGTTAGTCTGTATCCGCAAAAAGAACAGGAGTGCTTGTGGCACCTTAGAGACTAACAAAGTTATTTGAGCATAAGCTTTCGTGGGCTACATCCCACTTCTTCGGATGCATAGAATGGAACATCACACATACAGAGAGCATGAACAGGTGGGAGTTGTCTTACCAACTCTGAGAGGCCAATTAAGTAAGAGAAGAAAAACTTTTGAAGTGATGATCAAGATAGCCCAGTACAGACAGGTTGATAAGAAGTGTGAGAGTATTTACATGGGGAGATAGATTCAATGTTTGTAATGGCTCAGCCATTCCCAGTTTTTATTCAAACCTAAATTGATTGTGTCTAATTTGCATATCAATTTGAGTTCAGCAGTTTCTTGTTGGAGTCTGTTTTTGAAGCTTTTCTATTGTAAAATAGCCACCCACAGGTCTGTCATTGAATGACCAGACAGGTTAAAGTGTTCTCCCACTGGTTTTTGAGTATTATGATTCCTGATGTCAGATTTGTCCATTAATTCTTTTGCGTAGAGACTGTCCGGTTTGGCCAATGTACATGGCAGAGGGACATTGCTGGCACATGATGGCATATATCACATTGGTAGATGTGCAGGTGAATGAGCCCCTGATGGTATGGCTGATGTGATTAGGTCCTATGATGATGTCACTTGAATAGATATGCGGATAGAGTTGGCATCGGGCTTTGTTGCAAGGATAGGTTCCTGGGTCAGTGTTTTTGTTCAGTGAAGTGTGGTTGCAGGTGAGTATTTGCTTCAGGTTGGGGGGTTGTCTGTAAGCGAGGACAGGTCTGTCTCCCAAGATCTGTGAGAGTGAGGGAATCATCTTTCAGGATAGGTTGTAGATCTTTGATGCGCTAGACAGGTTTTAGTTGGGGGCTGAAGGTGACAGCTAGTGGTATTCTGTTATTTTCTTTGTTGGGCCTGTCTTGTAGGAGGTGACTTCTGGGTACTCGTCTGGCTCTGTCAATCTGTTTTTTCACTTCAGCAGGTGGGTATTGTAGTTTTAAGAATGCTTGATAGAGATCTTGTAGGTGCTTGTCTCTGTCTGAGGGATTAGAGCAAATGCAGTTGTATTTTACAGCTTGGCTGTAGACAATGGACCTTGTGGTGTGTCCTGGATGGAAGCTAGAGGCATGTAGGTAAGTATAGCGGTCGGTAAGTTTCCGGTATAGGGTGGTATTTATGTGACTATCGCTTATTAGCACAGTAGTGTCCAGGAAATGGACCGCTTGTGTGGATTGATCTAGGCTGAGGTTAATGGTGGGATGGAAATTATTGAAATCATGGTAGAATTCCTCAAGGGCTTCTTTTCCATGGGTCCAGATGATGAAGATGTCGTCAATGTAGTGCAAGTAGAGTAGGGGCATTAGGGGACGAGAGCTAAGGAAACGTTGTTCTAAGTCAGCCATAAAAATTTTGGCATACTGTGGGGCCATGCGAATACCCATAGCAGTGCCGCTGATTTGAAGGTATATATTGTCCCCAAATGTGAAATAGTTGTGGGTGAGGACAAAGTCACAAAGTTCAGCCACCAGATTAGCTGTGACATTATCGGGGATACTGTTCCTGATAGCTTGTAGTCCATCTTTGTGTGGAATATTGGTGTAGAGGGCTTCTACGTCCATAATGGCCAGGATGGTGTTTTCTGGAAGATCACCGATGGATTGTAGTTTCCTCAGGAAATCAGTGGTGTCTCGAAGATAGCTGGGAGTGCTGGTAGCGTAGGGCCTGAGGAGAGAGTCCAGATAGCCAGATAATCCTGATGTTAGGGTGCCAATGCCTGAGATGATGGGGCGTCCAGGATTTCCAGGTTTATGGATCTTGGGTAGCAAATAGAATACCCCTGGTCAGGGTTCTAGGCATGTGTCTGTACAGATTTGTTTCTGTGCTCTGTCAGGGAGTTTTTTTAGCAGATGGTGTCGTTTCTTTAGATACTTGACAGGCTATACCTTCAAGTATGACAACCAATCCCGGCTTGGGACCTTAACCTTGTTCTTTCCAGACTAATGGGGCCCCCCTTTGAACCACTCACAATATAATATGCTCTTTACTCTTGCGTATCATTGAAGGTAGTGTTTCTGTTGGCAATAACATCTACCAGGAGGGTATCCAAGCTTAAGGCCCTGATCTGACCTCTGACATCTGACCTCCTTACACAGTCTTCTATAAGGACAAGGTTCAGCTTTTGCTGCAACCAGCCTTCCTCCCGAAGGTCATCTCCCAGTTTCATGTTAATCAGAACATTTTTCTTCCAGTCTTTTACCCTAAGCCACACTCAAACAGCCAGGAACAGAAACTGCTGGGCGTTCGCTTTCTATATCGAACAAAGCCATTTTGGAAATCTACCTAACTATTCGTCGCAGTAGCAGACAGAATGAAGGGGCTCCCAGTCTCTTCTCAAATAATTTTGTCATGGATTACATCATGTATCCTGACATGCTACAGTCTGGCAAAAATACCTGCCCCCGCACTGACAGTGCACTCCACGAGGGGTAAACAGGTGGCAAAATTTGCAGATACAAAACTACTCAAGATAGTTAAGTCCCAGGAAGACTGCGAAGAGCTACAAAAAGATCTCACAAAACTGGGTGACTGGGCTACAAAATGGCAGATGAAATTCAATGTTGATAAAGGCAAATTAATGCACATGGGAAAACATAATTTTAACTATACACACACAAATAATGGGGTCTAAATTAGCTGTTACCACCCAAGAAAGAGATCTTGGAGTAATTATTGATAGTTGACAGTTCTCTGAAAACATCCACTCAGTGTGCAGCGGCCATCAAAAAAGCTAACAATGTTGGCAGTCATTAAGAAAGGGATAGATAATAAGACAGAAAATATTATATTGCCTCTATATAAAACCATGGTACACCAACGTCTTGAATACTGTATGCAGATGTGGACTCTCCATCTCAAAAAAGATATATTGGAATTGGAAAAGGTTCAGAAAGGGGCAATAAAAATGGTTAGGGGTATGGAACGGCTTCCATACGAGGAGAGATTAAGACTTGGACTTTTGAGCTTGGAAAAGAGACAACTAAGGGGGATATGATAGAGGTCTATAAAATCATGACTGGTGTGGAGAAAGTAAAAACGAAGTGTTATTTACGCCTTCTCATAACACAAGATCTAGGGGTCACTAAATGAAATTAATAGGCAGTAGGCTTAAAACAAAAGGAAGTATTTTTTTTCACACAGTGCACAGGCAACCTGTGGAACAACTTGCCAGAGGATTTTGTGAAGGCCAAGACTATTAACAGGGTTAAAAAAAGAACTAGATAAATTCATGGAGGATAGGCCCATCAATGGCTATTAGCCAGGATGGGCGGGGATGGTGTGAATGGGAAGTTCGGAATGGACGACACGGAATGGATCACTTGATTACTTGTTCTGTTCATTCCCTGTGGGGCACCTGGCATTGGCCACTGTTGGAAGACAGGATTCTGGGCTAGATGGACCTTTGGTCTGACCCAGTATAGCTGTTCTTATGTTTCAAAGAGCAGGCAGTGTTTGTCAAATTGGGAATCCATAATTAGAAGATATTTTGGCAAATGTTGGCCGAAATTTGTAAAGTGCTGTAGGATCCTTCAGGATGAAAGGCGATTAACTGTATTATACAAGCTTATTGTCTTTTGCAAACTGAGCCTTAATATGTAATTTGCATTCTCTTCCCCTAAATTGGATGTAGAGAGAACCTCTCTGCCAAGAATCTCCTATATAATATAATAGCCTCACTGGGAACTTCAGTCCTTTGACTCCTAGACTTTTGGCTTACCAATGGTTAAATAATAGTATTTGTTCTATGAGATAATTTGCATAGTATTAAATTTGTTACTGGCTTTTTGTGCAGTAAAAACAGCACAGCGGTACCATTGGTATTTTCCCCAGGCATATCAAAGTACAGTGTGTAACAGTGTCACTGGAAATATAATTACCTGGAAGATTTATTGTGGAACTGTGTGAAAGATTGCTCAGAAACACCAGACACAACTTGCCTGTTGTAAACTTTCTGTGCAACAAACGTACTTTCAGATGACCATGTACACACATTCTGGATAGCTCAAAATGGCCCAATGAGTCAAACTGCTTGGTGTTTGATTTCCTTTCCCAGACTATCAGGAGCTACAAGTGCTGAGGGGCTATAGAATACTCTCCCTATACATGGAAAAGACATTGCATTACAGGCGCCCTCCGGGTTACGCAAACCCAACTTAAGCAAATACACACTTATGGAAAAAGTTCCGTAAGCTAGAAATAGTGTTGTGGGGTTGGGCTCCCCCCCTCCCCCCCCAATGGTCGGGTATACGTTTCCGACTTACGCAAAATTCGAGTCACGCAAGGCGTTATGGAACGGAACGCTTGCGTAAGTCGGGGAGTGTCTGTATACAATAACACACCCTCCAGCTGAAATTTAAGGCAATGTTGATGAGATTTGAAAGGAGTCCTATACAATTCTCTTTGGGAAGGCTGATGGCCATAATATGGGCTCTCGGTGTCTGGAAGAGTGTAAAGTGGGTGTTAAGGGATTAGGAATAAACTTTCTCCACAACACCCCTGAATGCATATTGTTACATAATTATCCATTATGTGGGATTACACCTTCCCCTCAAGCAGTCAGTGTCAGAAACAAGATACCAAGCAAGATGGACCACTAGCCTGATCTAGTATGGCAATTTCTATTTATTTTATTTTATGTGTGAGTACTCTAACAAAGTTTCAGAACGCCTGGCTGGAATTGGCGTGAGAGGGGAGGGGCGACGGGGTGCGAGACAGAAAGGATTGACATTTCAGAAGAGAGGGATAAAAGGGAAAATATAAAGAGCAATTGTAAATGTTTTGCCTGCCGTCAGATTTTGCTAACGGCTTTAAGTCTGTTCCTCATTCCAGAGAGCTACATGTCCAAGAACTCTGAAGATGATGAACCAGCAAAGGAATCAAAGCAGTCTATTCGAAAACGTAGCCGAAGTACAGACGAATACTCAGAAGAAGAAGAAGAGGATGGGGATGAACCAGAGGAGGGGAGACCTGTCCGCAAACGGCTGAATCGAATTGAAACAGATGATGAAGATAACTGCGACAATGCGAACAAAGATGCAGAAAAGCCTGCACCTGCAAATAAGCCGTCAGCACCTCATGCTCCTCATGACAGCACCAAGAAGCCCTGCTACCGGATAGAAAGTGATGATGAAGATGACTTTGATAATGTAGGGAAAGTAGAAAGCCCGTTGGACTACAGCCTAGTGGACTTGCCTTCCACCAATGGACAGAGCCCAGGTAAAACTATTGAAACCTTGATTGGCAAACCAAGTGAGAAGACTCAAGCCCCCAAGGACAGCACAGCCAATGCCAACCTGGCACCCAATGGGACGGGGGGTGGGCAGGAGGTAGTAGGGCCAGAGGAAGAGGAGGATGAACTTTTGAGAGTGACTGACCTTGTTGATTACGTCTGTAACAGTGAACAGTTATAAGACTTTCTTCCATTTTTGTGCTAATTTATTCCACGGTAGCTCATACCAGCGGGCCAGTTATTAAAAGCTGTTTTATTTTTCCTAGAAGACTGTCCACTACAGTATCACTTTTTAGAAGCAAGAATTTCACCAGTTCTGCAGTCTTTCTGTGAAGTGACCAGTTTTGAACTTTGAAGATAAATTGCTGTAAATTCCCTCTTAATTTTTTTCTCTCCTTCCAAGTCCATGGTCCTGGGTAATTTCATTCACAAAAACCTTATAACAACAAGAGATTTGTATATTTTTGACTTTATATTTCCTGAAAGCATACAAATTTGTTGAAATGTGTGGCCTATGAAAGCATTCCAAATCAGTCAGGGCCCAAAACGTAACTGGGGCAGGGGGCAGTGGGAGGCGGGAATGGGGGCGTGTGTGCAGAAGCACTTGTGCTTTAGCTTTTTCATATGAGATATATATTATATTTAAATGTTCACAACTTAGATGACAATTTAACAGACCGTTTAAAAATTAATGTCTCTACTGTTGCATTTTGTGAGTTGTAGGTTAACATACATAGCTCATTTTAGTAATCACCTTCATGAAAGCAGCTTGATTTAAGATTGGAGATAACCACAGTAAATAAAGAGGCCAAGAAAGTACAATAAACAAGAACTCTAGTATCCATTTTGACTTGCAGAATTTCCTGATAAACATCCTTTAAAGTGTTTGTACAGTAAAGTGTACTGTAATGAAGTTTTGACGGTCGAAACATGCTAGCAATGAATTTATAAAACAGTTTTTCCATGCATATTTCATCAGATGGCCTTTAATGTACAGTATCTGGTGGGAGGGAATCTGTGTGAAGTTAGTTTGTAAATGGGATGATACCATGTGAGTGCTGTAAACTTTTTCAGATGCCAGAACCACTGTATAAAGTAACTGGCCGTTTGAGTTTTAAACCATCTATCAGAGTATTTTGAAAGGAATACGTTTGTACATACTGCATTGATCACAGGATTACAGCGCATCTGATGATGGAGGGATTTTCAAATAAACCTTGACTGGTCCATTCATGCCCCTAATATCTACTTCAAATTGAAGTAAACAAATGGAGCAGTTTTCCTTTTGGAGGTTTTCTGTTTTGGATTTGTGTGTTTGTTTTGATTTACTTATCTGCCTGGATGTACTAGCAGGTTTTGAATGTAGTGTTGGCCTTTGGCCATTAGAATTTTCTTAAAATACATTTTAATAGTTGTCATGTGACCAACTGATTTCAAGAAGGCAGTATTTCTGGGAGAAAATGCTTGACTCCAAGACAATATCTCATCACTTTGAGTGGCATGTACGTTAGCTCAAGTATACAGATTTTTTTTTAACAGTTTATTTGGCACATAATAGACAGTGAAGCTGAAGTTTGTTTTGGATAGCACTCAGTTTTCTCTTGGCTCTTAATTAAGATGCAGGCTGTAAAGTTTATACATGTTGTAGCCCACAGCTAAAACATAGCTGCCAAATGTTGAAATCTGATAAGGTCACATCTATTAAACCTTTTGCGCTGAGATTTGGATTCCCCCTCCCCCTCCCGGTGTTATGTCCATTGCCGGCAATGGATGCACTAAATTTGCTGCTGGCACCAAGGAGTGATTTCTCCTTCCTACTGCCACCCCCACCTCCTCAATGTCGTATTGACTAGTCAGTCAGTAGTTAAGCACTTCTATTTCATTGTAATAAAGCTGGCATTAGGCCTTTACTAAATACCTCTCTAGAAAACCTAGATCCAAAAATACCTACCTTCTAGCCTTGAAAATCCTTGTTTTTGTTTTTCCCCTCTGTCCATGTTAGTTCTGTAGAACCGACTGCATTAATGTTATTTCATTGGGATTCTAGCAGTTCATACATCCTCATGTATAAAACTAAAACCATCAAAGATGCAAAAGGTTAGGACCCACTCATCGTTTGCTATGGTAAGCAAGGTTTGTGACTTAAGAAAATGAGAATTCACTTTTTCTTTCCAAATAAGTTTATTCCATCTGAATTTTTAAACAAATAATTATTTCCACCATGTCAATTGATAGTTAACAGGTTTCATTAACAGATGTTTAAACAGGGTAGTGCGAAAAGCCACAGAAGGTTAGAAAGTGTTCTTAAAAGCATCTGTAGCATTTTAAGCTACTATTCAGTATATTCTGCTGCCTTTTTTTTTTTTTTGCTTAGGTGATGCAACAATGTAGTGCTGCTACATTTCTAATACACTTGTGTTTAAAATGATCAGTGACGTGGCTCCCATTTTTCAATGTTAGTAACTGTGCATTTTTAGTATTTGCAGTGCAAACTGTCTGATTCACATATGCAATACTCTGCGCAGCCAAGACTTCTGTTGTGTTTAGGCGGTGCCATAACCCTTTTGTTCTCTGACTTAGCCTTTTAGTATCTGATCAGTGCTGTAGCAGACATTCTTGCTGTAGCATTAACTCTGAATTATAGACATCTCGTGGGCAACTAATTTCAATGTAAGAAAAATACAAAAGAGTTGGAAGTATTGGATACACCAACCAGAGAAAAAAAATCAAATATTGTGTTTGAATTGTGGGAATGATGTAAAAGCAGACAATATCATAAAGTTCAGTCGGAACACTGGAACAGAGGATCCAGTCGTTTTCCAGGTACTGTCAGTTCCATAAATATATACATGATTTTGATGCTGCTATGCAGCTTTACTTCCTGTATGTCAGTTTTGTAGATTGACCTTCTATTTGATTAAGAAAAAGTTCTCCCTGATGTTAATGTGATCCCAAAGAGTCCAAGCCTAAAACCCTTACACAGGCAAAGCTCCCTTTTATATCAATGGGAATCCTATCTGAGTAAAGACTGCAACATTTGGCTCAAAGACAGGGTTTACATTTTCAGCCCTCTCCCAATCCCCAGTTTTGAAGATTTTCTGCTTGATGGAAAATGTATAGTATCTTATTTGGGAAATGGCACTTCCTGATAAGAGCACAAGTGACCCCTAGTCAGATGGTAAGAATATTTTCGTTAGTTCACACTATGGAAATGTCTTCCAGTTGATTTGGTGTCATTCGCAGATTGTGTTCTACTGTAATCTTGGTAAGGAATGAAGTGCAATGTTTTTGGATTATGTTAATGTCCACAGGGAATACTAATCTTCAGCTGTTGCTTAAGTTAATAAGCAAAAGACCAAATCATTTTAGAAACACAATGGAGACTTGCCTTGGGTTATTTAATGGAATAGTTCCAACTGGAAAAGAATAAGCAGATATCAATCCTATATGTAAGGATTTGATTGCACAAACAGCTATCCATCAGGTTGTGACTAAAAGTTGCTATGTTGCAGATTTTTAAATTGAACATTATTTAGTGCAGAACTGACTGGGGAAAAAAGTTAATGAAGTGCAGTTTAGGTTTTAAGCCGCATTGGAGAGGGGAAGAAGCTACAAACTGAGAGAATTAAAGGAGGGATGGAACTTTCTAATCCATTTCACAAAGAGAAGAGTGATATTTGCTGGCTTGAAAACCACTTGTATGAGCATTGGTGTCAAAAATGTACAGTAAATTCACTTCACGCTAGATGGATGTGATGAATTACATTAACAAAGCCCGTAATATAGTAAGAACTTCACCATGGCTATTTTTGTCATCTTTGATTCTTCTAAATGAGTGTATTCCTGGTTTTAAAAAACAAATGTAGACACAGTGTATGTCTCTTTGTTTAATTATGAGTACAGGAAGATCAATATTAAACAATGAACTCTTTGAGTATTTGATAGTTGATTCAGAGTTATGCACATTAAATTACGTGAACACATTAACACATCTTTTCTTTATCTTATGGCTTTTGCGTTTTAATTGCACTTGAGAAGAACAGTGATGCTTTTTTCTATATTTTATGTTTATAAGGTATGTCACCGTCTTTAAGACTATCCTTTTGGATTAAGGTGCCTCAGTTGCACTTCTGCTAATGGAGTTTGGACTGTATTCCGTTTGCTTCTGTTTTGTCTTCCCTGTATCTGAACTCCTCCTGAGAGACTGACTTATTCAGAGGACCTAAAGGCAACATGTATGTTCATAAAAGAAAAAACCTTGGCATGGCAATCCATTTGTTCTAATTTATTTTAGTAACTTTATTATTTGAACTATGTGACTATCCAAATGCCGTAGTAGTTCAATAATTCTAATAGAACACGGTCAGGGTGTCCATTACCAAACCTCTGTTTTCAGGCATTTCTAATTTGGCATTGAAAGCTCTTCAGCACGAAGGCTTGGCCCAGCAGTCATTTTTTAAAACTTGCTTCCAATCACTTACTTTCACAAACCAACTTTCTTAAAACTAAACAAGATAAAGGTACCTGTGTTTTTAAAATCTCCTCTGTATACAGTAATTAAATAATATTTCGTAGTCATGCTAGTCCAAAAATGGTCTGATCAAGATATTTGTGTCAACTGGCTCAAAATGGCAAAAAGTGATTGTGGTACATGTGCAGTGACTACTGTTCACAGGTTTGTATTATAGATTTTAATACACAGGATGCATCCTATGTGCGTATTTATGTAAGAAGAACACTTCCAGTCCATTGGGTAAATAAAACCTTTAAAAAATTTTATATAAATAAATATTAAATCCTTCAAACAAAAACAAATCTTTACTGGAAAAAAATATACTGAATGGAGGGGGGAAGAAAGAAAGCAATTCATGTTAAGTAGTCCTGATCTGCAAGTGCTTACACACAAGTGCGTCTATGGAAGTTATTAAGACTGTTTTTAGGAATACAGGTTTGCAGGATTAGGACTAGAATTCTTGACGCAATCTAGGAAATCCTGGCTGCCAATCTTAGCTTTTGAGTTTCACCCCTCACCTGAGTTAGGGGATGGAATGTTGCTTTTAACTGTTTTGGAAGTCAGGAAATATGAAGTGAGCAGAGAGAGGCCTTAATTTTAGTTGAACTAATGTTTGCAATATGTATTGACCTAAATTTTCAAAAATGACTAATGATTTTGGATGCCTCCATTTTTGGGTGTCCAGTCGGAGACATGTTAAAGACGCCTGACTTTTCAGAAACTGCAGAACACTCACTCACTGAAAATAAGGCCACTTTGAGGTGTCTCCCATTGGACAACCAAAAATTGAGACACTGAAAATTATTAGTCCCTTTTTGAAAATCAAGTCACTTACTAAGCTCTTATTATAGCATCAGTATAACTGCCTGTTTGAATGACAGAACTCCAAACAGCAAAAAACAAGGTTGTATGGGAATTGAAATACCGTATATACTCATTCATAAACCGAATATTTTTGGTAAAAAAGTGACGCATCAAAGAGCGGGGGTTGTCTTATAAACGGGTCTACACCGAAATTTGATGATTTTAAATTCTATGGAATCATTGAATTGAATATCTAATACAGGGATTGGCAACCTTTGGCCCCCGGCTCGCCAGGGTGCTTACCCTGGCGAGCCGGGCTGGTTTGTCCACCAGTGGGAGCCACGATCAGCCGAACCTGTGGATGCGGCAGGTAAACAAATCAGCCACGGACCAAAGGTTGCCGATCCGTGATCTAATACATTGTAGTTTTGTTTACCTGGAGCGTCTGCAGGCATGGAGCCCCTCAGCGCCCTGTGGCCGCAGTTCGCTGAGGGGCTCCATGCCTGCAGATGCTCCAGGTAAACAAAACGTCCCGACCCGCCAGCGGCTTACCCTGACAGGCCGGGAGCCAAAGTTTTCCAACCCCTGAAATGTAGGGTCGGCTTATGAAAGGGTCATACAGTTTTTGCTATTTTTACCTATCCATTTTGGGGGGTTGGCTTATAAACGAATGGGCTAATGAACGAGTATATACGGTAATTGCCCAGAGCTTCAGAGTAATTTAACTTATTTATACATTCCAAAAAATTTATATTGCTTAGAACAACACTTAAATTATGTACAGTTTCTGAAGGAAAGAGTAGAACATTCTAAAGTAGGTAATAGGTCTTTACAATTGAGAATGTAGTGTAAAGGCTCCAGACACAATTACAACTATAAAAAATCTGACAACCTGGGTTTTTAGGTATCACTCTGTAATTGCTTGCACCCAGTACCTGTTCTCATGAGCGGTAGAGACAAGGGAAATGCAGGCAGAGGGGACACATTGCTTAATAATTGTACTTGTGGCTGTAAATATCTCTGATTGCTACAAATAACCCCAAAGGTTACCAACTAGAGCTGAGAGATCAGAGGGGGAAAATGTTGCTCTATTTTTTCCAGTTTGTTTACTGTGTGCACTGGATAGCACTTTGTGTATAGTCAGCCTCACTGTTTCCCAGGGCTAGTAAGAAATTGTTTCCCCCTGTCGTTTTGAGTGGAACTTTAAAATGGCAATACGGGACAGGAAGAAAAAATAGCAAAATGTGATTGCAAACTCACGACCATTTGCAGAAGGGGATTCAGACAGACATAGTGTTGAAACAACTTGTAATTCACTCTGAAAAACTGACAATTTCAAATTGACTGTGCCCTTTAACCCTCTTAACCTCATTCCTATCCCCAGAGCTGCATAAAAATCTGTGTATGTTAGCAAAGGTGGTTTCCTACAACGGATGAATGAGTGCTAAAGGGTAGGTGTGGATGCAGGGTTTTTTGGAGCAATACATTAGATATTATAACACTGTTTGGCTTTGGCACAATTAGATGGAGGCCGTTCTGTATGCTTATCCCTCTTCTTATGACCCAAACAGCTATATTGATTTATAATATTTAGCTTAGCCTGTTAGGATGTAACAAGTTGTGGTAGCCATGTTGGTTCCAGGATATGAGAGAGAAATGGTGGGTGAGGTAATATCTTTTATTGGACCTAATTCTATTGGTGGAAGGTACAAGCTTTCAAACTACACAGAGTTCTTCATTGGGTGTTTGAGCTAAATACAAGTCGTGATTTTTGTTTGTAGTTAGTCCCAACTTTTTAGCTCAGGCACTCTGCTTCCTTCCCCAGACCTGAAGAAAAGCTCTGCATGTACCTTCCACCAACAGAAGTTGGTCCAATAAAAGATATTATCTCACCTTGACTCTCTCGGGACTTAACAAATGATTCTACAGGAAAAAAGCTGTTCTATTGAAAGCCGTAATAGGCCTAGTACTGGCACACCATTTATTAGCTAGATGACTGTAAGGTTCTTAATAGATATTGATCTGCTACTAAAGTTAATGTGGTAGAAAAGGAAATCAAATCATAAATCTTTTGCTTTTAATTTCATACTCATTACATTGACTCTGAAATCTTGTACAGTGTCTTATTCTTACAGTACATTCATTAAAATGATACTTCCCCCTAACTTGCATTAAACTTCTTTTAAATGCCAATGGTTGCTAATTTCTTACTTGTTTCACGGCCCTCCTTTATAATACATAGCAGCTATCATATGCTAGTTGCCTGATTCGAAAAGTTTAATATCACTATTTTAGTGTATAATGGCTGTCAAATGGGCACGTTCTGTGTGTTTTATACCTGATGTTCATGTCTCTATTCACTGTCCCAGTAAATTTAATACAGATTGCTTGCTAGCAGAATGGTTGTTCCAATACTCTGTGATGATTAGGTGAAAACTCCCAAATATGGTCTCTTAAATTTTAAGATATGCTTACATGAAATACAGTTTTTGTCTTACTTCTGTGTGCTGTTTAAATGTTTGCAGAGAAACCTACAGTTCCTTAAAGTTTTTATCTCAAATTCACTGATGGCCTCATTTCTGTTTTATCTTACTCTTAAGAGGTAACATGGTAAATTTCAGAAAGCTTGGCAGCTCTTTCTAGAGTTTAACCCTTGCTTTGCTTGAGTCCTGAACCTTGATTTTTAAATCTTTCTCTGAAATCATGGCTTGCTATATTTTGAGGGGAAAGGACTGAGGTGCACACACTGCATGTGTTGTGTGTGTGGAGGGGGAAAAATATGTTGAAAAAACTGGAAGTGTAATTCTTGTTGCACATAACTTGGGTGGTGCTTTCACTGTTTTGTTTCCCACCAGTAATTTCACCTGCATGTAAAACATATACATTAAAAAATTTAAAACGAAAGTCATGGTGGTCTCAGTGCTCAAAGGGGTTAACTGCAGTTTAATAACCGCTGATGTTTTTAGATTTGCAGTACACAACTGTTTAAATACTGTATTCCTTGTAAATGAAGTAAAAAAAAATGTTAAGGCTGGTGCCAATATTTTTGTTAATGAAATGTTCATTGTTGTCTCTCACTACAGTCTGGTCAGAACACTTTGTGTATAAGCTGGGCCTGAAGCCATTTTATAGCTTGTAGGCCTAATTGTGTAACTTTTTCTTTCATAATGTTTTTGTTATAATATCTACTGTCATTTCTTTCGTATAAATATGACATGTAAATTGTCATAATAAAAAAATTAAATAACTTGATGATGTACAAAGTATAATGTGTCTGGGAGAAGCATGTTTGCTTTTAATTTTCCTGGCACCTAAATAGCAAGGAGGGGCTTCTTTTTGTCTGACTTTAAGGTAGATAGTGGAAAATGGCTGCTGCAGATCGGTCCAGCCTTTGAAAGTGACATTTGTTTGGCTACAAGTAGCAAATTGTGCTTTTTCTCTTAGGCAGTTCAGCCTGTGAGGTTTTCTCTTTGACCAGCAGTGGATGACAGTGAAGAAATTTGAAATCCCTATCTTTTGTATAGCTGCACTTGACTGGTCTTTGCTATCAGTTTTCTCTGTATTCTATATTTTCTAGATATACTATTTTTAAAAATAAATATAGGGCTGTTCTATTAGTTGATCCAGAATGGCAAATTGGGAGACTAGCTGCTTAGGGCCACCTTT